TTATTTGAACTGACATATATAATACATTTCATAGAAATATATTAATCTATAAACTGATATACAATATGTCAGTTCAAATAAAAATTCTATATATGAGTAGAAATAAAAGGCCAGTAAAATATAACATTGTTTTTTAATAATAAAAGATATCATTCCGAGTTATTTTGCAATAAGCTTTAAATAATATAAAATCAAGAAAAAATACATCTCTTTTGAAACAGTTATATCAAAAAAGAGAACATAGTATTATTATAAAATGAATATAAATTCCGCATACATATACATATACATATATACATACATGCATATATTCAGGATTGGAAGTTACCTTGTAACTGATTACAGTTTATAATTCTTTTTTTTTCCCCCCCAAAAAATAACTAGTTATTGTTACAAATTACCAATTTTAAAAATAACATGTTACAGTTATAGTTACTCAAAAAGTAACGAGTCGTTGCTTTTTAGTTATTTCTCTGTTTACTTCCTGTAATATTTTGTGCATTGTTATTTTAAATATAAAAATCTTATATTTTTAATATATTTCTTGTAATATATTTCTAAAGACTGATTGCAACGACATTAAGCAAGACTTAAAACTTTAAATTTATTATAGCAGTCGAATTTGATTGGTTCTTATTTTACATCTAATCAATCACATTAAGACTAAGTTCGGAAACGTCATCCAAGTGTGTTCCTATGCATCATTTTATTCTTGTTTAATATTTGGTGAAAAACAAAGATAAAATGATACATGGGGGATACTCAAATGTTTTCGAACATAGCCTAAAAGGGTGACAAGCAGGTTGTCAGTGCTATTGGCTGTGTTCAACTCAACAGCTTTACAACTGTGTAAGATACTTAAATATGATTTGTTTATACATTTAGGTCCATGAGAAATTAAGGGAGAAACTAACAAAAATTCATCATATCAAAGATTTTTACAACAGTTGCAAAACTGCTTTCTCTGTTGAACATAGCCATTGTGTCATTTTATCATTAAATATAAAACAAGGATAGAATGACACAATAACGCTAAATGACAAATAAATTTGAAATATATAGAGTAACGATGAAAGTAACTATTAAATTAGGTATTAGTTACTAAAAAAATGTAATTAAGTTAAGTTAAAGTTATAAATGGAAAAAAGAAACGAAGTTAAGTTACAGTTATTGAAAAAAAAGTAACTCTAACGTTACAAGTAACGAGTTACTTCCCAACCCTGCATATATTTATATATGTATATGTATATATATATATATAGATATATATATAT